AGATTCTGGGGATTAAGTTCGTAGAATTCCTCCTTAGATCATGATGACTGATTTATGAGATAAAAAACTTAGATCTAATCCTCGTTCCCACATATTTCTTAAATCTTATTGGTTATGATGAGTCACAATTTTGGATAGGTATACCTAAGGCCCTTTAGACTTAGATAAGGAGGGAACCCCCTCGTTCTCTACACAATTTTTTCTAGCATATCTTTCTCTCTCTAACCTCCACAACCCACTCACTCTCTTATCTCATCTCTCTCTCTCTCTAGGTGGCCACGTCACCTCATAAAGACATAGTGGTGGCATGCACCACTGTATAAGATTGAGAGATAGGGGCACACTGAGTCTTAGATTAGATCATGAGGAGGTGCTATACAGTGGAATACCTTAAAGGGTTCAAGAAACCCTAACAGTGGGATACCCTAAGGGGTTCAAGAAACCTTAAGTGTATTATGCTCTCATAAAAACCTTAGTTTGTGAGGTATTGCTTAGGAAAGTTTTACGGCTTAAAAAATTGATGCATAGAGAAATAATAAACCCGAAAAATAAAAATATAAAAGTAAAAAAAGTTTAGAGAATATAACCTATCTCAAAGTCTCCAAGGTAATCCACTTCAAAAAGATCTTTTCACCTCAAAAAAATCTTTTCACAAGATTAATTTTACTCAATTCCAATATCTTCTCCATCTCCCTCCCGTATCTCTCTTCAACTTCCACATAAATTTCTTCTCTATCTCCCCCACACATATCTCTATCTTCATCTATCTCTCTAAATATGATGTTATCTTCTCTTTTTAAGAAATAATAAAACATAATTTCTACTTATCTTAAAAGATAACTTATTTTCTAAATTGAAATATAGGCATTCTTGGGTGACAACTCATGCCCCTATTAAAACTCACGCATAAAAATCCTTCCACCTAACTTAGCCTAGCACACTTTTTATTTATAAGAAAAAAAAGGAAAAAATAATAATAAAACTAAAATTTTGAATTTTTCAAATATCTTTCTACATCATTCTCCCCGGGTTGGGAGACGGTCGACCTCGAGCATATGGAACTCAAATCTTTTAAAGGCATTCTCAAAAGTTGGTGATGAAATTCCACCATTCTCCTTGATATTTTTCCTTCAATTTCTTCAATAAACCAATTTATCAAATGCTTTGTGCTTACCTCGAAGTAGAATACTAGAATCTCGTGTTGGATTTTGAATACTACATCACACATATCATCTTCTTCATAATTGATTTTTAAAATTTCTGGCACATTTGGGTTATTGGCATCATCTTTTGTATCAAGATCTACCTCTTTTGGGTTATTAATATCATCTTTTGTATCAAGATCTACCTCTTTTGGGTTATTTGCGTCATCTTTTATATCGAGATCTACATCTTCATATTTTTGTTCCTCAAATTGCCAGTTATGAAATAGATCTAGTAGACTTTGTGCAAAAAATTTGGCAATACGCTCTACCAAATCTTCTTTGAGTCTCTCACATCTTTGATCTAGAGGCTCCATAACTAGATCTTATGAATCTCAAGGCTCTAATACCAACTAAATCATGGAGAAATAATAAACCAAAAAAATAAAATATAAACTCAAAAGAGTGGAAATAATACAACAACCCACAAAAATAAACTATCTCTTATCTATATAAAAGTCACGTACCACTTTCCTTTATTTGTCTCCAACTTCTACATCTATCTCCTCTCTATCTCCCTCACGTGTTATCTCTATCTCCATCTATCTTTCTAAATTTAATGTCACCTTTTCTTTTTAAAAGATAATTTTTGTTTATCTTAAAAGATAAGTTAGTTTCTAAACCACTCATTCATGGGTGACAACTCACGTGCCTACTAAAACTCATTCATAAAAATCCTCTCACCTAACTTATCCCAGCACAATTTCTATTCCTAATAAAAATAAACAAATAATAATAATAAGATTAAAAGTTTGAATTTTTCAATTCTCTTTCTGCATAAAAAATTCAGCAAGGCTAATAGGATTAGAAAGCAACATGGGTCAGGAAATTCGGTGTATGGTGTACAAAATCCTAAGGAGATAACCTTAGGCAAATTCTAGTATGTCTTCCTGACTATTTGTTTTTATTTTTCAGCCATTTTTGCTTATTTATTTTAGTTTTTAAGAATATTATTTCCACAAAAATTATTAGTAGCATATTTTTTATTTCTGAATTGTGTCTATTCCACTTAGTAGTAAAAGCAAAGATCTTAAGTTGTATTTAAGGTTTTATTTCTTGTTTACGAGAGTGTATTTTGACACTTGTAAGTGGAATTCAAATTCATTAATAAAAAAATTGATTATTTTATTTATTTTACTCTTGAATTCTACATAGCTGCTTCTTTCAAAGACAACTAAGAGCAAACTATTAAAAGAAATATATTTTTTTTTTAAAAAAGTAGAAAATAAAAAATAAAAACTTACATAAGTTCATAAAATCAAAACCAAATATTTTAATTCATCTAATTGAATAATAGGACATTTCAATCAAAATAAAAAATATGTCGAAAGCAATTGTGAAAAAAAAAAAAAATGGTCTTACAACATTTTGGTTTTGATTCGAAAAAAACTTTTTAGGGCTTTTATGGATTGATATCTTAGGAAAAGTTTGAGACAAAATTGAACCTATTTAGTTAAGCATAGATTGAGAAATCAAAACATTTTCGATTTCAAGTAAAAAAAAAAAGTCCTAAAACTTTAACTATGTATCTCTTAAAAAATGGGCTTCTTTCCAGCAAATGAAGATATGGATATTTCAAGAAACTTTGAAGACTTTGGTATATTATTCAATGAAAAATCGATAGAAAGGTGGATTAAGTTTCAAAAATGATGGAAAAAAATGGAAAATCAATTTAAATTTTAAACTTTCATTTTTAGGTCTTTATCGAAAAAAATTCTTTAGAGTTACTACTGATCATAGAAAGGTATTGTATTTGTAACAAATTTGAGAGATTTCCATTAAGCGTTGAAAGAAAAATATAGGTTTTTCTCTTTTAGTTGTTTGTATATAAGAAAAGAGTACTTAGGCCGACTCGCCCAAGCCTAGGCAAAAACTAGCTAGGTACCCTTTAGTGAGATCTGATTCACGGCTAAATTTTGGATCTTTCATTTTCATGGTGGTCAAATATGGGGAATTTTGAACTAAATATTACTATTTTTTGAGAATTGATGTGAAGGTGCATCAAAAATATTTGGGAAAAGTTTATATAGGGTTTCAACATTAAAGTGTAGGATCATATGCACCTCAAAATTCTACCGGAAAGGTTTTTTTAATGTTGAAAAACCCTCTAATTGATCATCTCGGTATCGAGTTGTATGGATATTTTAAAAAAAAGTTTTTGAGTCCCAAAAATAGTGCATCTTACAACACATTATCTAGACGCTCAATTTTTATGATTTTCATATGTTTATAGATCTACTTGATTTTAACCAGTTTGGAGTTTAAAATATTCTAATTAAATATGAAAATAGGTTTTGAGATCCTAGAAATGTTTTACAACAAAATTATATATTATGATAAAATTTAGAGGTGCGCTTTAATTGGATTGTTTAAGGTTGCAACCTTATAGAAACCGACCCAAAATATTTTGAAGAAAAATTATATAACAAAAGTCCACATAACAACAGTCCCCTCACCTAAGTCATGCAATGGTGATGGTGGTACAGGTCAAGTGGTAATGGTGGAGGTAGAGGTAGTGGTGGATAGGAGGTGGTGGTAGTCGTGCGGTGGTGAAGGGTAGGCAACGGCAGCTAGGTGGAGATTGTGATGGTGGTGGAGGAGGTAGTAGTGGTGGCTAATGATGAAGGTGGTAGTGAAGGTGGTGGTGGTCCACGAGGAGGTTTTAGTGGTGGCTAGTGATGAAGGTGGCAGTGAAGGCGGTGGTGGTGGTGGTTGAGTGGGTGATGGAATGGTGATGCTTGACTAAAGTGGTGGTACAGTGGTACTAGTGGTGGTGGTGGTGACAATGGTGAAGAGGATGGTGGTGGAGAGAGAGCCAAAATAGAAACTTTTTGCTAAAACAATTTAGAGTAGTTTTACAAATAGAGAAATCAATTCAAATTTGCAAAGTGAAACATCTTATAAAGTCAAATTACTTGTGATAATCTATACGGGACCTTTTAATTGTTAACAATAATAAGTACATAAGAATTCAAATTATTCATTTTTCCATCGAAGAACACATATACCATGTTCTCTGGAGTGTAGTTTACTTCTAATCTCTCAGACCTTCGGAGGATTTTTTCAACATGAAATTTTGAGAACTATTTAACAATTATTAGATGATTATTTTAAAAAAGTTTAAATTCGAATTTTCTAACACTTAGGTTATTATCATTATCGGAACCTTTTCCCAACTGTTTGAGATCGGCTGCATATATGCCAAAATTAATAGAGACTATAACTAGGAAGTTTTTTTTTATGGACATGATTTCTTTTTTTTATGGACATGATTTCTATACGGCCAACCTGCATATTATAAAAATATGAGCTTGGCAATAAATATATTTTTAAATATAATTTGATGTTAATTTTTAGAGAATATATAATCTTTATGGAGATCATGGATATGAAAAAATAAAAAATAAAAACTAAAAATAATAGTTATATTAAAAATATATTTGGAGAGTTAGTTGCACTGTTTTTTAGATGGACTACCTAAGATACTTTATACTTTTGGACCACATATTGTAGAAATGCGGTCAGTTCGAATGAAATAATTTTCTTGTTTTTAATTGAATATAACATGTGGGTTGAAGAGAAGTCCCTAATATCCAGGGTCCTAAAATTAAATTTAGATGGGATTTTACCTGAGGGAGTAAATAGATAATTCTACTCCCGCGAGAGTAGAATATCTTTTAGCTGCATCTAATGACAGCATCCAAAGTGGATTCCAAACTTAGTATACCGCCCGAGGGAACAAGTGTACAGTATCGCTCCCGGTTGCGAGTCCGCACGCGCCGCATTGTACCCTAAAACCCTGAACCCTTGACTGCCCTTCGAGGCCTCCTTCATACCTTCCATGCCATAAGAAGGCTTCGAAGCTTTGGACCCTCGGACACTGGGACTCTGACAGGAACCCTAGTTTTCTTTTCCAGAACCGTTGGTTTCACAAATTCCCTGTTTCTGCAACATGTTCTCTCAAACTGCTCTGAAAACCTTGAGTTTCCATAGACTTCACATGCTTTTCAGGCATTCCTCGCCTTTAGATGGTCGTAAAGGCCCCCTATTTGCCTCCATTTTCCTTCTTTTCAACCCTGGATTACCAAAAGACTCACAAATTAGGGTTTCATCCTTCTTTTCTTCTTCGGTTCCTCGAACTATGCCTTCTGTTGCTCTCGATGAGATTTCTTCAGATGAAATCCATGAACTGGGCAGTTATCAGCCAGTGAAATCCCCACAAGAAAAGAAACCATTGGATGATTTGTTCAGAGAAGCAGTTGGGTTGACTAAGCCCAGCGTGAAGACTTTGAAGAACCTGAAATCAAAAGAAATTCAGGAAATGAGGAAGAAAATAGACGATCTAGAGAGAGAAGTTAGGTTTTTAAAAGAGAAGAAGAAAGCACCAGCTGAGAAAGATTCTGGACAAAAAGAATCGACTCAAAGCCTTTCTTCTCTCTTTAGGAGGACAGTAAGTTACAATAAGACTGCGGTGGAAACAAGGAGGGAAAAGTTAACAACGAGAATTGAATCAAGTGAAACAGAGAAATATGAACTTGAACCTGAAGTCATTTCATTTCTGAATCATTTGAACGAGCAAGGTTATTTTGCAAATGCGAGATTTTTGCGAAATGGGGAACTTGATTTGGAACGTTTAAACACTGCATATGCTCAAGGATTTATTAGGTCAGCTGCCGAGAAATATGGGCATGATAATGCAGAAATTGCAAAGTAAGGCATTGTTTTTAGCTTTAATAAGTTTGCATCACCTTCTTCTTTTGAGGTTCGCATAATTGTATAATTCGAATTATTCCTCTATAGAAATGGTTAAGTATGTTCTTCTCAAATTCACTTTGTAATGGCATGCTTTCCCATTTTAATATACATTAGGATAAGTATCTTTTTAATTGCCAACATGGGCCGCTGAATTTTGATTAGAGACGTTTGAACTGATGGAAAATTGCAACTTACGTGGAATTTGATCTGGAAATTCTAGGGTCTCCAGAAAGCATGTGTCGAAATGTTATGATTATGCATAAATGGTATTGGCTTCATTTGAACTTGCTTTGGATTCACTGCTGAACATGGAATTGTACAAGGACCTTGCTTGATTTTTGATTCATATTCTTGGTATTTGCTGTGGGAAAAGGTCATTTCTCATTTTTTAGCTGTGAACCTTAATTGGAATACATTTGAGATACACTATAATATACCTCATAGTCAAGTGAATATTTAGGTAGATTTCAGGAAATTCTATTCAAATTTTATCTTTCCACTATTGATTTTTTTTTTATTATCGACAAAGTCTTTTCTTCTTCTTAATTGCTGAACAGTAGGAATGTCTGAGTATCGAACTTGTGTGGGAATAACCATATGCAGGCCTATATGAGGAATATTTTCAGTTACACACACATCCATGCATTTATGTGTATATGTATGAGAAATACTTTGAGTTACTATAAACAGTGATTGAGTAAAAGATTAAAAGATATAACAAATCCATAGAATGTGTCAAATACTGAATAACTGAATTTGAAATACAAGACCTCAAGTCCATAGTTTGTACTTCATAGACAAAATCCAACCTCTACACATATTCCAAAATCCAAACCAAAATGTAGTGAAAGTCATAAAACTAAGATGATAGAAGTATATAAAAGAAATTTTGGAAGATTTTAGTCTTTAGTTCATTCTTCTTCTTCTTCTTCTTCTTCATAGTCATTGGCCCATCCGAGTCAAGGCCACTGTCATCAGAATCATCATGTCCTTCAACATAATGGCCCTTCTCAGTTACTTCCATATCGGCCTCCTCCTCCTCTCCTCTGTCTCTCTCATCCTCCTCTTTTGTGAACTAGGAGTATTTGTCATTATTGATCAAGTAGTCGTCCTAGAGTCTGAAGATTGCCCTGAAGTCAAGCCTTAATCATGAAAGACCTCTTTATCCAAAGGTTCTTCAACTAACCACTCACACGCATCATCCCTGGATCCAATGGGTTCCTCTTGTCTTGTTCATTGAAATGCTATTTTAGCCTCTAATTATACTTGATGAAGACTAATCATTGCCCTTTTTTACTCAAGCTTGTTCCTTTTCTTTGTATGTATCTATGGGAAATGAGCTAATATTTAGAGTATGTGAGTAACAGAGTTATAAACCGATAAGTTAATTAAACTAATAAAATCATGCGCTATATGAACTTATAAAGTTACATTATATTTATGTATTTATATATGTTATAAACAATTAAACATTTAGAGTTATTCAATTATCATAAATTCATATGATCATAACTCATAACTCATAACTATGAATCCGTAATTTACAACCAATGTACATAATATTGACTTGGCCAAGGTACTCGGTCCTTGTCCAAGGCGATTTACTCAGGCGAGTCCCTATAACTCACCCGAGTCCAGCCCAAGTTTTAAAAAATAAAATAAAGACAAAAAAATAATATATGTTACATAGCCTTCCCCTTTCTTACATTCAAATGTCAAATGGCATGTTGGTAGGGAGGCTGCTTTTGGGATGCCTCTTTATGAGAGGTCTTCGATTTCATCGTCATGATAGATTTTTTTTAACTCATTTAAAAAACAATGAGGGTGACATTTGTTGGTGTGCTTGAACCCCCACCATGATGGGAAATAAGCGTGCATACTGCCCGATGTGCCATTTGAATGTCTTTGACTTAAAATCGACATATTAATAAATATAAACTCTACAAGCATGGGTGTACAACACACTCGGGCAAAACTCACCCTCGCTGATAGGGTGAGGCCAATTAAGATAAAACTTAGTAATAAATAATAGGCTAGTATGCAATTGCCAACTTAACATCTCAAATGAACTCGAATTATTCTCATGACCAGATAAGCTACATGTTAAGCTCAATATTCGATGCCCATCCTTTTTAAGTTTGGAGCTCTACTCCCATGTTGGCTCCACTATTGACTTGCAAACTATATACAATCACAGTATTGCTATCTGTCTATAACATCTGAATATTAAGTATGCCTTGTGCACGTTGAAACTTTACAGACATTAGTCAAATTAGCTATATTACCTAGATCGGATTTGGTCCTTTGTCTTACTGCCATATCCTTCCCATATGCTTCAATGCACATTTTCATAAAATCAACTTCTCAACAGGTATCTTATCCGGGATCCTTATCAGGAGCGAGCCTCTCAAGGCCCTCATTAAAGCCCTTGCATCCTTCATCTTACTATCTAGGTCAACATAAAACAAACTCTAGGTTCAAATAGTTAGCATCTCCATGCTATGGTTGGTGAAGCTGCACATCCCATTTTCTCTCTATAATCTCCGATATTTAACCATAATTGGTCTCATCATTGGTCAATGCCTCGTCTCTCTCTCTCTTAGCTATATCTAATGCATCATATGTGAAGCCCATAGCGGGATTAGATTCACCTCACCATCAACCAAGCGCAACACTTGGGCCAAGGTTAGAAATACAATAAAGGAGTACTTCACCCTACCCTAGAAAGCCTACGATTAAACTATAATGCACTTCCTCCCCTCAGCATGCTTAGCCCACGTGCATGTAGACAACTCTAGGGGGGCAAAGGGTTGGGTCCGGGTCGTGTCTAGCTGGACCTGGATCTGAAGAATATACTATGGGACCCGGACCCGACCTAAAAATCAAAATATCTAGTCGGCTCTATATGGACCTGGGCCCAAACCCAAATAATGTTTGGGTCCATGATTTGGCCCGGACCTGGACCCAACCTGTCGGGTCCAAAATTTGGATCCATACCCAGACCCTGGTCGGGTCTACCCATTGGGTCCGGGTCCATTGCCACTCCTAGACAACTCCTCTGCTGTGAACATTGTCCTCAATTGGTTTCTCCCTATCTTATATTCTGTGCAGACTTAGAAAGGGGTATCAAATCTTGTGACCTAGGCCTTGCTAGATGTTTCTTTTTATTGAACTTTTGTCATACTCAGGTATGGGTGCAGGTGTAAATAAACACTATCACGGCCTTAGCCTTGTTACCCTTTACATTTCGCTGGTAACCTGAAGCATGAGGTCTATGTAGTGTGTTGCTCATGGTGTCCAAAAGATTGTAGTCCACTTTTGGTGCAATAAATTAACAGTAGCCAGACTTGGTGTAGCATTGTTTGTTACTACTTAAATTACGTGCTCCCTCCAACCTCTTCAATAGCGTTGTCAATTAAATTAAGAATATACTATGCATCATGAACATAATCATATGCATTGATAGATCTCAAATATATTGTCTGTAAACAACAATTGACCATCAAGTTCATTATTCGCTTCTCCTCTTATCACTCCTTGAATTTGTTGCGCTTTAGACCCCAAGTTATGCCAATGAATTCCTATGCATTGAAGATACTTCTTAGTGACTTATACCTCTTTATATGGCAATAGTTCTTTAAGCCATAGTTCTTGGGATCAGTAGAAGAATGGGGATTGAGAGTAGGGGTCGTGAAAGGCTAGAAGATGCTTATGGTTGGGAGCGTCGCTTGTCTAATGCATATGTTAGGGATCGAGATCCCCAAATGTTAGAGTTCTCTATCCCAACTTTTTCGGGATCTTGATCTGGATGTTTTTGGGATCTTGCTCCCGACCTTAAGGGCTATATATAGTCTGAGGCTATATATACTATCTTGAGCAAGTATCACTTTATTTATAGCTAGCAAGCAATGCAATTATGTTAAAAGTAGAGTTTCATTGCTAGCTGATTATAAATAAAAAAATATCAGTTTGGACTTTATTGTGGTCTCTAAGGTGGGCAGCGAGATCCCAAAACCCCTACTAGGGGCTTTGTAATTCGAATATTATTTTTAACACTAGTTCAAAAGGTTTACTTAAAACCAAATCGGCCATCTCATTCCCACTAGTCTTATTAGCCCATATAGAATCCCTCTAGGCAGCTGATGTAACCATGACACTCAAGTCATCTATTTGATTCGACATGCTCTATAATGTAAGGAAATTAGTAGCAAATCTATTTATTTCCAGCGTCACAAACTCCGTGTTATTTTTATACTGCCTCATAAGATTGAGGACAAATGACTGGTTGTAGATAAATTTTATGATATTCTTTGCATTCTTTACAACTTCTTTAACATAATCCATCTTCCCTGTATCCTTTAGCATGAAGTTTATACAATAGGTTGCACAAGATGTTCAAAAGATAGAGGGATAATGCGTTTGTAGTAAATCCCCCCAAGGGATTAATTAGTTTCAGTGTCTGTAATAAACTGAACCACAATCTTTAGCCCCACTTCCTCAACAGCGTCCTTAAATAACTCAAATACTGCCTTGGCCAATCTTGATTATGTTGGAGGCATTTATAGACCTTAAAAAATTGTTCTCTTGTGATGGTACACCAAAAAATTAATCAATGCTTATTCCTTTTATCTTTCCACCCATTAGCCATTATAGAACATCCATATCTCTCCCATATTGCCATATATTTGGCTGTGAACCTTTTAACCTCTTTCACGGTCTTTTCTAATAACTTGGTCCTAGAATCATGATTGGAAGGGCCTTTATACTCCGCGACTACGGATGCCACTGTGTCCTACATACGCTGGAAATAGACAGAGTTGAGGGCATTGAAAGGGATAACACAATGATACATCCACCAGACAACAGACAAATCTGCTCTCTCTATAACTTTCTCGCCAGCTAATACACGTCTGATGGTTGGCTGGGAGCTCAGTGTTGCGCTCGGTGGGAAATAAGCCCCTATCCCAACTTGACCTTGCTTCCTTGGGTTGCTAGGCGCAGTAGCACTAGAAGCTGTGGTGGCAGGCACTTTCCGAAGTCTCCTTTCTAGTTTGAGGGGGCTCCTCAATATCAAAATACTCATCTATAGGGGCCGGTAATGGGTTTCTGATATTGTCATTCCTTGTTTGCCTCTTTTGCTTCTCAGTCATGTGATATTCAATGATTTTTTGCATCTCCTACATCATATGAGGGGAACTTTGGGGCATTTGGCAATATTCCCAGTCTTTTAGGTCAATTGCGCCTTAATTCGATGTATTAGCCCACCTTTTATTGGTTTTTTTTTTTTGAATTGTTTTATTGGTTTTAAACAATATATGCAAATATTTTCCCTCTTGTCGCCCTTTTGTTCCCTTCTTACATGGCGTGATGCGGGTCTGTTTTTCCTCTATTGACCCACTCGAGGACATTTTTTTCTCCAATTGAAATATCAAAGTCTCAACCACCAATAGCTAATAATAATCGCCTACAGAACACCAAGCATGCTACAAAGCACAAATCCTACTCCCAAACAACAAACATAAATCACACTTCACAATATGTGGAAAATTCAGGCAAAAAAAGAATAATCAGAAATCTTTTTTTTAAAAAATACAAGATAAAAAGTAAAATAAAAAGTAAATATTTATTTTTTGTAGTATCTATTTTTTGAAAATTGCAAAAAAAAGAAGTAAAAAGACAAATAAAATGTCCCAAACATATTTCTTTTTCTTTCCTTTCTTCTACTAAAGCCCTTACCAGTAATATAAATTTTTAAAACCAGGAGTACAAAAAGAATTTACACCAAAGTACCAAACAAATTTCTCTTTCTTTTTTTTTTTTTGGATTTTCAGATTTACCTTTTAATGGCTTTTTAGCCTTCTACAAATTTTAATTCTACGAGTTACAATATGAAAAGTTTAGAGTTAAAACCATCTAGGTAAGAAAATAAAAAAAAATCAGCAATATTAGGGTTTCTTTCATGCAGGAAACAGTAACAATATAAGAAATAGTGACAATATAGAAAATACAACTTCTGCTGATTCTTTTAGTTGGTACCATAATGAACATCATAAAAAAGAAAAAAATAGAAGGAACCATTTATTCTTCTACTAGAAGCACCATGCAAAGCGTAGCAACTTACCAACTATGTATGTTTTATGAACTCTGAATTTTTAGATGTGATGATTTTTACCTGGATAATTGTTTTGGCCATTGATGAACTTGTTGAGGTTCCAATTAGCAAAGCCTATCACTACGACGTACATGATGACATTTAAAAAAAGCAAAGTTGCAGCTACATTTTTTTCTAACTGTTTGAGCCATTTTTACCTCCTTTTCACCCTCAATATTCACAATTTCTTCCCCAAAAAAACAGCAAAGAAAAACTGAAAAAAAAGGAAAGGGAAAACATTCACAAACTATAAAAACCTAATTTCCTAAACCTAAAAAGGAAAAATTTGATTTCTTTATCATTTTTTTTGTATTTTCTGAAATTAGCAATAAAATATTAAGGGCCAGTTTGGATGTCAAAGAAAAAAATATTCACAGCGGAAAAAAATGCAAGTTTTTCTACCTCAATTGGAAAACATTCTCATCTTATTTTATTATGTTGGTAAACTGTTTGGATGTCTAATTTCATTGATTTGTCAAAAAAACCCTAGACCCAATCTTAGTTCCCTAAAAATGTTGTCAACCATGCCCCATCTTCGCTTTGCCAGACCCAATTCCGTTATCATAACTTCCGGCCAAATCTCTCCATTTTCAGGCCAAAAATCGCTGGAATTCAGCGATCATGAGAGAAAAACCTTGCAACAACCTGGTCCATCTTCTCTTGACCAAATTCTGCAAACTTGCTCTAAGCTTCTATTTCTCCTCAAAACTCATCTCTCTTTTATTTGGGTCTCTTGCTTTAGACTTGGGCTGCTTTCCAAGCTGAACAGGTCTTATCCCAACTAGGTTTCCCCCTCCTTTGGTTCACTCTAGTGGGTAGCATCCATGGATCCGGCTTCTTTGAGCTTTGGGGTTTGCCTCTTCTCTACGGCATTTCAATTTCTGGCGAAGCTGCTGGTTTTTGTACTGGAAACTTACCAGAAAAGGAATTCTGGTGAGCCTCCTCAACAGCCCTTCGCCTCTCTTCCTCATACCCTATTAAAAGCAGGGTTCCACATCTCTTCGAAAAAACCTAGAAGCTGCTCAACCCACATCATAGCCCTTGGGGTTATATGTTAGGGCATTGTGGAAGGTGACCCTCACATCAGCTGCAAATTCAAGTGGGGTTGAATAAAAGCTCTGGTTTAACCTAGTTTTCGCATTGCCAAGATCCATGGGGTTCTTGACTAGGGTATAGTAATCATGTAACCCCATTCCCACTACATCAACAGGGACATTGAAGACCCATCCATGCTTATGCTTCATGAGCTTGGTCAAGATTTGGCCGCACCTCTTCATGAAATCTGAGATCAAAAGAAATTGTCATTCTTTTACCAGATTCAGGAACCTTTGTTACTGGATTTGGCCTCTTGGATCCACCAAAAACCTTCTTATTTTCTTGTGCGGGGCATCTTCTCTTTCCCCATAACAAACTCAGAGGCTCTGTAATACTGGTTTGCTTTAGGGGTTCTCTTCTCTTTTGGGCCATAGCCTGTAAATCTAAGGTTTGGAGGTTCAATGGAGGTGGGTGACCAGAACCAGGGGTCTCTGGTTCCCATCTAGAGAGCTTAGGGTTACAAGGAGGGGGGGGAGAGAGAAAGGATGGGCATAAGAGAGTCTCCATGCACAAGCCACACTTTTATCTGAAAAAATTCAAGTCTGACTTGAATATTTTTTTATCGTAACTTTTGCCTTGATACTGCAGACTTTTTTATTTCAATCTAAAAATCTAGTAAAATCTTGTGGTTGTCCAAACAGCTCAACTCAATTTCACAAGATTTTTGAATTGCAATCCAAAAATATTGCAATTTTGGGTACATCCAAACTAGTCCTAAAGTAACTAAAATATAAACTCATCTTGAACTTGAAGCTCCATTGGAATGCCGCTAGAATGGCCGTAAAAGCTTTACCGGGGGTGGGGCTCAATGTGAGAGAGAGAGAAAATTAAAGTTATAAGTAAAGTCTAAAAGGTAAATTTTCTCTCCTTATATTTATTTATATTATAAAGCAAATAGTTTTGTTAGCTGTTTTACCCTTATGTACTTATAGTAAGACCAAGTAAAGTCACTTTTTCCTTATTCAAAACCACAAAAGAAGGGGGGCAGAAAATTTTTTTTTTCCTGCCCCCTATTTAGACCGGGCCGGTTCACTATTTGGACCGGCTGGTTCACCGGTTCAGTATTGGTTCAATGCCCATATCGGTTCAATTGATGGACCGGACTGAAAAAGGCACCAATTCACCAGTTGAATCAGCCGGTTCAGTCCGGTTCTTGCAACATTGCCATCAAGCTAGGAGATCCAGAGTAGGGTGTGCTAAGTCCTTGGATATGATCCAAGACAAGGTTATCCAGTAATATTGCTTCCATGTTTCTTGATTCATTTTTATGCATTGTATTTGATCATTTATGATAAAAGGATTTTGTTTACGGCATGCAAGTGAGGATCCTAGATGGTAGTAGGGTTTTGATTTATGTTTTTGAGTTGTAGTTGGTGTTGTAAGTGGGCTAGCTAGCATGAATAGAAGAAAGTGAGAAAATTTTGATTCATCATTCTTTGAAGAAGGAAATAATAATTTATCAATTCCTTCATTTTTTATTGAATTCTAAATGCCATATTTTAAATACTGATTTTTTGACCTGTCCTGCTAAAGCGAACAAGAGAACTTGTAAATCTTAGTCAGATCTTAGCAATTTTAGCAAAAAAGTGCTGCAGAACCACATATTCTCTACCCATTATTTGTGGGACCCCCGAAGTTGTGATACGTACCCAGTTAAGAACCAACATATGTACAAACTATAGCAAATCAAACAACTGACCTAAGTTAATTGAGAGTGATTTGCTGTTTAAATGCTGTCTAGAATGAAGCATTGATTTTACAAAGGAGTTTGTTTAATCAGAAGAGATATGGATATCACCTGGGAAAAGCCTAACTTGCCTGTTTAAGCTGTGTTTTTCTGTCTATTAGCTTTATTATAGCCTTTATGTCTTTTGAGATAGCGCAACTCAAGGTTTTCCTGTGGTTGCAGATGGTTGTCAGGCAGTGACTTGAAAAAGATAGCCCTCTTTGGGTGCCCATCCACAGACACAAAAACTGCTTCTGCTGCTAAAAGATTGCGATCTTTCTTCAACATTCAGGAAGATGTTGTAAGTTGTCTCTTATCTTTTTATGCCTTGCATCCCATTCAGAGTGTGTGTGTGTGATATATATATATATATATATATAGAGAGAGAGAGAGAGAGAGAGAGAGAGAGAGAGAAGAGAGAGAG